GTGACATTTACACGTTGAAAGATCTAAGTCGTTAAGTCTTATATATATCGAAGCATGCCTGTTGATATTAGAGGTTGTAAGCATCTAGAAAGTATGTGATATGCCTAAAACTGTCTATGAGATGAGTTTGTTGTATACGAATGAAATCAAATGTTTTCAAAGTATATTCTATAGTACTTTACAGGGTTGAGTGTGGTTATACTTAGCTTCGTGCTAACGGGTGTTTTCCTATTTGTCTATGTGTTACTTGCAAAACCCCTTTCAGGTGGGCCCAGCAGTGAGAAGTGATCGAGTTAGACTAGTCTTTTAGATTGAGATGTCTAAACTCTTATTGACTTATTTATGTCATTATCCTTCGGATGTTAGACTTATGATGTTATGTTGACGTTTGATGATGTAGACTTTTGGGGTGACTTTTTCCCCCTTATGACTTTCAGTAATTAGTATGGATGTTAGATATTTATTTTATTTCTAGTTCTAAACCCCCTAGCCTGTGCAATCACCACAGAGTGGTGGTTGTGGCGGTGACATTCCCACTAGTTATCTTTTTAGCTATTAATTCCGCTGCTTAGTTTATGGTAATTGTGGTTTAGATTTGTGATAAAGAGTTAGAAAAGTGGGGTGTTGCATTAAGCTTCTAAGTGATCTATTGTTGATCTATGATGTGTTGTTGAGGATTTGGGAGTGTTGGATTGCTTGATTTTTCTTTGCAGGTGAAGAAGAAGCTATCTGGTGCACACTGTCTATGCACCAGACTAGCTCACGGGACTAACCAACGGCCCAAGGCAGGGGCCGTGGCGAGCCCTGTAGAGGGGTGGCCTTAGGGCACGGCCCATTCCATGGGCCGTGATCCTAAGCCGTTGCTTGGCGGAGCCAAGCGGCAAGCCTCCTCAAGCCTCGCTGCAAGCTCCACCAGGCTAAAACAGTGTAGTAGCTGGGCCCTTTGTGGCTCAGCTACGTGTCGTTCGGACCGGGGCTCGCGGGCCCTTGAGGCTCGGACACTCGGGATCGTTATGGCGCACTTGTAGAATTTGATTTCTTTAATTTTGGAGTTGAAATGAGAATTTTACAGTAGAAGAATACAGAGATTTTTGCTATAGAAATGCCTGTGATTTGCGTCCAGTGATTGAAAGTTTGAAGTATTTGAGCCTAGTTCTTTGAGTGAAAAGCTTGGTCATTATTTGATAAGTTTTGTTAGAAAAGCATGCATATGTGTCTATTATGACTTATTGAGAATCCTTGCCAAGAAAGTGATTTATTCAATATATGTACAGAGCATGTTTCTTGCTTTTCAGTTTACAATGAATGAGCCTATGAAGTATATTTTGAGTTAAAAGCATGTTTAATACTTGCTAAGTGTTTGCCAAGAAGAAATGCTATGTAATGTGTTTTAAGCATGATTTAGCACTTGTTGATAGTTCACAGTGAAAGAGGAATTGAAACTTTTCTTAAAGTAATGTGCATATTTGAGCATATCATGTTGTAAAGTGCATATTTGAGCATATCATGTTGTAAAGTGCATAAGCGGCTTAATGTAAGCCTAAGTATTATTTCGAAAACTTATATCTATTTTGGAAAATCATTATCTAGTTGCATGATATTCGATTCCCAATTTGTGAGAAAAGAGAAGTTGTTGAGAAGTTATGTGCATAAGTTTGCATAAGTAAAGCTGTTGCATGAGTTTGAAATGCATGAGCTATATCTATACGTATCTAGTGTGAGTAATCCGAGGTTTTGAAGGCCCATTAGGACTATGTCCTTTCGAAAGAAAAGAGAAGGAAAGAAAGTAAAGAAAGAAACGGACATTGCAATCCGATATGAAGTAACGAGGTCGATATTCCCGAGTTACTAGGTTGGAAACTGCCCGCCAGGCTTGGAATCCTGGTCAGGGAGTGTGCACGACTGCACTCTGATAGTTCCATACCCGATTCCACAGAGTTTGAGAAAAAGAACCAAGAGAGTGGTTCTGTGGGCGAGATGAGTATTAGGCCGGCTAGATGTCGAGCCCGGGTAGGTCCGTTCACATTATGGTGAAGTTCCTACCTCGCCCGCAAGTATAAAGAAAGAAAGATAGCGGGTCATTGAGACTCTAGAAAAAAAAAAAGAGAAAAGCGAGTCATTGTGACTCTAAGAAACCTCCACAGAAAAAGTGTTCCTTTTTACAAAAGAGTGTATATGTATATCTATCTATACTAATTCTATAGCATCATGTTCATTTTATTGCATGATTAAATAAGTTGCACGAGTTTGCATGATAGGGATATAAGAAGCATGACTTTGTATTGTCACTTATATAATTTGATAGCATGAGATTGCTTATCGAGTTATATGATAGCACTAGATTGCTTATTGAATTATATGATAGCATGAGATTGTTTATTGAGTTATGAATGACATGAGTTCGTTAGGTGTTAAATAATAGAGAATGCATGCCTATTTTGATGACTAGGTTGCAAGCATCTAGAACTTGTTGTGAGTAAGTTATAGTGTTGTTATAGTGATTAAGTTTACTTGATCTACGTGTTCTTGGTAAATGTTTTCTAAAAGTATATACTGTAGTATTTTACAGGGTTGAGTGGCGTTATACTTAGCTTCATGCTAACGGGTTGTTTTTTACTTGTTTTGTTTGTTAACCCCTTTCAGGTGGGCCCTGTTCTTGAGAGCATTCGAGTTAGACTAGATTAGCTTAGTTTGCTAGTTGTAGTCTAAACTCTTATCAGTTATGTTGTTTTGAGACTTGGTATTAGACTTATCTAGTGTTTTTTATGGTGCTGGACATCGGGGTCTCATCCCCTAGTTTGTTTAATGTTAGTAAATCTCGACTTATTTAGATCTTCTCTTTGCCTGTGCAATCACCGTGTTTGGTGGTTGTGGCGGTGACACCTCTTATTGATGATTAGTAGATTTACTATGCTTGTTAGTAATCCTTATTAAGTTAAGTATTTGATTATAAGGTTTTAGAAAAGTGGGGTGTTACAACCCATTATTAATTAGACTCTGATTAGGATTCCTAAACCTATACAAAAGGGATTAGAAAGCCTTTAGAACCTTTCCCTCCCACCTTCTCCTCTACCGCTCAAAAATTCCCTCCCAGAATTTAGACAAAGAATTTCCTGTCACCAAGATTAGAAAATATTGATAGGAAGAGGACCTTGAGGAAAGATCCTAGAAGTCATAAGAAGTTTCACTAGTACAGAAACAGTCATTCGCGTCCAAAGTTAAGGCTAATTCGCGTCCAAAGTAGCTGGGACGCAGATGTCGGGGATGCTGATTGTATAAACAATCCGCGTCCAAAGTAGCTTTGGACGCGCAAAATGATTATTCGCGTCTAAAGTTACAAAACTTTGGACGCGTATAGTATTTTTTAACCAAATAAACACTATACGCGACTTAAGTTCTTTAACTTCGGACGCGTATAATGTTTATTTACTTAAAAAATACTATACGCGTCCAAAGTTCTTTAACTTTGGACGCGGAATAGTATTTTTTAAAAAAAAAAAAATTTTTTTTTAATAAAATTACCAATATTTTCCTATACATTCCAGCGTAACTACCAAATAATATATTTCAACATTAATTAATCAATTTAAGAGGTATACTACACACCAATTCTATCAACTAAAACACACCAATCTAATATTTCAATTCTAATAACATTTTACTACAAATTCTAAATGTTAACAATTAAAATAAACTACTTAAGATGTAATATTGTGATAACCTTTATCAACCACAATGAAATTTTATAAAAAATCAACTACCTGATAGAAGGCCAAGCACTGAAGTACAAATTTTTCCATTGAATCTAATTCTAGATCCAAAGAACAAACGAATATTAAATCATGGGTACATTGTTTGGTTCAAACATAGGAATTAAAATTGCAATTAGATTCAAAAATTAAGGAACTAGAATGAGTCAAGTAAAAGTAGTCTATCTTTTTGGTAATAAACTACTTAGAACCTGAATAGCAACTCTTCTCTCTGTTCATTCTTCCCAGAGACAACTTGTCCACCATACAAAAGAACCTGAATCAAAGAAGTCATAAAATTTGGTGATACAAACAAACTTGTTAAATTTTTATGACTATTTTTGTACTAATGAGAGTATATGCACTCCAACTCTAAACAAATCCAAAACAATTGATACTTATTATAAATATATAAACATAAAAAAATATAATAGGGAGTAGTTATTAAGCAAATCAATCTTGAGGGTATACAAATTACCCAAAAGGAGTAGTGAGAATCCCAGAACTTAGCTTGTTTATTGACCTCAGAACTTGAAGTTCTCTTTCAAGTAACACACCATCTCTTTCTGCACCAATTAAAGGGGCCAACAAGAATCGATAAAAATGGAGAGTATAGCATTAAACTTGTAGTATATAGAGATACAATTGTTATACCATGGAGCGAGGTTGATGATATTTGAGTAAGCCCCTTAGGAAACAATAATGCAACATGATTACCACATACACAAGCAGAATGCAGCATCCCTGCAGCTGATACTAAGCATTTACTGATCTGGAAGGGAAGTTTGAATGACTAAAAGGCATTAGATCATTAGATGGTATAGGGTAATTTAGTAATTCAGTAGACAATAATGCGAGGCTGACATACAAGTGTTTTATTTACTAAAGATTAGGATTGTTTAATTTAGTAATTCAGTAGCCAGTTAAAATCAAAGGAATAATTTCCCCAATTCCATTCTTGAAACACAATGGACTTAGGCCCAAACACTAGTTCTTCCCTTTTGGAGTGGATTTCCATATTGAATTACTACTAATAGAGTGAAATCACATAAATTGATTCAAAATTTCTGGCTCTTTGAGCTGTCCTAAACTTTTTCCCTTAGACATATTACTTAAAATTCAAGTATGCCAAAGTTAAAGAAATCCCTTGGCAGTTAAACAGTAAGAAAGCTGGCACTTGGAAATAATGAAACTAAGAAGAAAATGGTACCTCCCCTGCAACATGTAAGCTGAGCTCCAAAAGAAATGCGTTAAGATCTGCAGAATCCACCCCACTCTCCTACATTAAAATGTGGGTGACTGATATGTCAAGAAAATATTGGAAATGATAGTAACCATTTTTTTTATCAGAATAGGGATTCCATTTCCATGCCAACTCTATTACCCACCCACAACCCCCAAGGCAAAAGGAAGAACCACTTTCATGAAAAAAGGTGAATGTGAAATTGTGAAAGCATGGCCAGCTACTCTCCTACAGGTTGAACAAAGGCTGAATGACTGGCCAAAGGCTTTTTTTTTTTGTTACCTTTTACTTTCACACCCACCCTGGGGGCATGTTTCTTTTCATTTTTTCTTTTTCATTCACACCAAAAAAGCTTTTGAGGATAAGTGAAAGAAAAGGAAAAGGAGCAACAGAAGCCAACAAAAGTGATACCTCTGCATTGGTTATGTACTCCCTGATGATATACCAAAGCTGTGCATTAGTATCCATCAGCTGTAAAAGACAATAGTTAATACAGACTTCAATTAGGAATGGTCGAAGTAATTTATCAGCTCATACCAAAAACTGAAATCCACTTTCAGTCAACTTTGGTGGCTCTTTGTCATCTCTGTCAAAAGTCAAGAAGAATACATACTTCTTTATTCCATGCATGAAATGAAAAGCATAATTTATACTTCTTTATTGTCTTGCCAGCTTCACTGGAGCTTATAAGGTGCAGCAGGAAGTAGTCAAAATCATTGTTAAAGATTAATAATAATAATAATAATAATAATAATAATAATAATAATAATAATAATAATAATAATAATAATAATAATAATAATAATAATAACCGAAAGTACAAGCCTTTATAGCAATATAACAGGATGATCACATCATCTTCAAAACTCAACCGTACTGATACAAAAAGTACATGCAATTCATACCTCCCACTGTTCTGAGGCATAGGCATCTAATTCCTCCAACTCTGGAAGCCTCACGGTGATATTTGAAGGCATTGGTTCTCTTGGTAAAATTCCACTGTAGGTTTTAAATTTCATATGTTATGATGCATTCCTTACACATTTAAACATTCTCATAGGAATGATTATCTCCTTAAAGTATATAGTAGTCATTAAAACTTATTACCCTATCTAGTACGTACTCCGTATTTTATAAGCTCACAAATCCAATTCTAAGTTTTAAATACAAATTCTTAAAATTTCACAAACCCGTTGTAACTGATTGCCAATCATATTCACTTGTGTTAGCACCATGAAACAATAAAACTTCTCAATCCGATTGATTTCTACTAACTAAGAAAATCCAAACAATTTCACCTATAAAATAATCAACTTGCAAGCAAATTTAATTAAAACAAAATGCCATAGCAAACAAAAAGCCCCATTAGAGTTTGTCAAACTGAATATGATACTAACTCATTAACATTATGTCATGACCATGGAAGGACTGGAGAATAGAGAGAAACGACACCGTTTGACGCGGGAGGTTGAAAGTAGTTGAAATAGATCCAACGACACCGTTTTGAGTAACGGGCAGTTAAGCGGTTGGCAGGGAAGGTGTCCAACGACGTCGTTTTACCCTTGCAGCAGTTTTCTAATAACATTTCCTTTTTGTTATTTCCTTTTAGTTGTTGCTGAGCTGTAATAAGTAGTTAGGGATTTTGAGGGGTTGTTTGAGGAGATCCTCTACGAATCAGCCAGGGAATGTAGAGTGGAGTATGCGAATTTTAATACCAGAAATCTTCTTCTTCCTTCTCCTTTCTTCCTTCTTTCCTTACCCAATCTGTCTCTCTCTTTTCTCTACCTCCACTCTGTGAGTGCATAACAGTTTGGTATCAGAGCCCAATGGAGGATCGCCTGAGAAACTTAGAAAAAACCACTACGGAACTCAGCACCAGGTTCCAAGCTACTCAGGAATCCGTCAACAATCTTACCACCCAATTTGGTACTCTGAGAGAAGAACTGTTGCAGATCATCAGACTCAACCGTCCAGCACCTCCGATTATGGAAAACTCCCCTGGTCATTCCTCGGTGCAGGGTCAGTTTCTAGGAGAAGCTAGCTCGTGTCCAGGGGGAGGCCAGACAAGGCACCAGTGCAGGAAGCAGAGCTGGAAGAGATTGATCCAGGATTGGAATCTCCTGTGAGACTTGGCCAGACTGACAGACCTCATGTGAACTGGGGTCCCAGGAGAGTAGAAGCAAATAGGAATCAGGCTGTGGACTTCTATCCCAGGTACAAGGCTGACTTCCCTAGCGTTGATTATGAAAACCCTAGGAATTGGGTAATCAGGTGTGAGAGATTCTTCATGATCTCTCACATCCCCAGGAATGAAATCATGAACTTGTTGTTTGTAAATCTGTCTGGAAGAGTGGGGATCTGGTATGAAGGCTATATCAGTGAGCTTAGACAGGGCTTCCAATGGCAACAGTTTGCGGAGGCCATTTGCAGAAGGTTTGGCAGTAGCGGAGTGTCACTGATGGAAGAGTTTGCAGCCCTTAAGCAGTGGGGATCAGTGGATGACTTTGCAGATAAATATGAGGATTTCAAAAGTCATCTGTTACAAGCTCATCCTGGCTTGACTGAATCCTACTTCATGGAAAATTTTGTTGCAAGGTTAAGACCTAACCTCAGATGTTTTGTTAGGACTGCCAAGCCTGACAATCTGGGAGATGCCATATGGATGGCTAAGCAGTTTGAGAAAGGACTAAAGACCAACGAAGCCAACAAAACCAACACCTGGAATTCCAAACCCCCTTCTAATCCCAGAGCTTACCACACTCAAACCCCAGACACTACCCCAACTGCCTACAACCCTAAGCCTACTCCCTCAACCCAATCATCCAACTTTGTGGCCCCAGACTTAACTAGTTTTAAGACTCAGTTAAGGGAACAGAAGAGGTGCTTTAGATGTTTTGAGGCATGGCAGCCTGGGCATAAATGCAAAGGCCCCACATTCAATCTGATAGAAGAACAAATGGATTATGATTTATCAGAATCCACTGAAGAGGAGAAGAGTGGTGAAGAGGCTGAAGTATCCCTCTGTGCAGTGATTGGAGGGGAGGGCATGAACACTATCAAATTATTGGGCCGGGTTCAAAAGCAGCAGATAGTAATCTTAGTAGACAGTGGCAGTACTCACAGCTTCTTAGATCCCAAAGTACTCAACCAATTGAGGAAAGAACCTGTGAAGGACAAACCCTTGACAGTGACTGTAGCAAATGGAGAGAAGGTACTATGTGATACAGTCTACTCAGAATTGAAATGGGAAATCCAAGGGGAAGAATTCACTAAGGATTTTAGGCTACTAAGGCTTGGAGGGTGTGACATGGTCTTGGAAATGGACTGGGTGGACAGTTATGCTCTCATACAATTGCATACTAGACCACCTGGCATTTCCTTCCACAAAGATGGGAAAAGGATACTGCTTAAGGGCATGGCTAGGAGAATTATGCTTAAGGCAGTTTCTGACAAGCAAATGAAGAAATGGCACAAGGGTGGAGTGAAAGGCTTCCTAGTGCAATGTAACTCTCTCACATCACCTGAAACCCAAATAATGCCACAGCTAAACCTTACCTCAACCACCACTGATATACCAGAACTCACCTCTATGCTACATGAATTCCAGGATTTATTTGCTGAACCTACCTCCCTTCCACCCCCCAGAAACCTTGATCACTCAATTCCATTGGTTCCAGGGGCTAAGCCTGTGAGCATGTGACCATACAGATACTCATATGACCAGAAAAATGCAATAGAAAAGATGGTTGAAGAGATGCTAGCAGCTGGGATCATTGTGCCTAGTTCATCATGTTTTGCCTCCCCAGTATTGCTAGTACCTAAAAAAGACAATACCTGGAGGTTTTGTGTGGATTACAGGGCTCTTAACAGTGTCGCTATCAAAAATAAATTCCCAATTCCCTTGATAGAGGACTTGTTCTCAGAATTGGCAGGAACAGGATGCTTTTCCAAACTAGACTTAAGATCAGGCTATCACCAGGTCAGAATGAAAGAAGGGGAGAAGTTCAAAACAGCTTTTAGAACCCACCAAGGGCTCTATGAGTTCAGGGTAATGCCCTTTGGGCTCACAAATGCACCTGCAACATTTCAAGCATTGATGAATTTGGTCTTTAAGCCACTGTTGAGAAAGTATGTATTGGTTTTTTTTGATGATATACTGGTTTATAGCAAATGCTGGGAAGACCACTGGCTGCATCTGAGAGAAGTGTTTAGAATAATGAGGGAGCATAAACTGTTAGCCAAGATGAGTAAATGCTCCTTTGGCAAGAACCAAGTGGAATATCTGGGTCACATTATTTCCAGTGAGGGTATTAAGACAGATCCATCAAAGCTTGAGGCAGTTTCTGCTTGGCCTAAACCAGCAATAGTGAAGGCTCTAAGGGGTTTTCTAGGGTTAGCTGGCTACTACAGAAGGTTTATAAAGTCCTATGGGATCATAAGTAGGCCACTCACTAACCTACTCAGGAAGAATGCTTTCAAATGGAGTGATGAAGCTGATGTAGCCTTTGAGCAGCTCAAACAAGCTCTGTGCACTGCCCCAGTTTTAGCCCTTCCAAATTTCCAAAAAGAGTTTGTGGTGGAGGCGGATGCTTGCTACAAGAGGATGGGGGCTGTCTTGATACAAGAAGGGAAGCCAATTGCATTCTTTAGCAAGGCCTTTGGTGAGAAACACTTGGGATTATCCATTTATGAGAAGGAGTACTTATCTATAATAAATGCTATTGACAAATGGAAAACTTATCTCCTTGGTAGGCATTTCACTATAATGACAGATCATAACAGTCTCAAATTCTTGTTGAAACAAAAAATTACTACTGCTGTCCAACAGAGAGGCTTAGCAAAGCTATTGGGCTTGGATTATTCCATCAAGTACAAAAAGGGGGCTGAAAATCAAGTGGCTGATGCACTCTCTAGACAAATGGCAGATAATGACTCTGAATTGCACTCCATTTCAATTGTGCAACCACAATGGAAAACTGAAGTGGAGAAAAGCTATGAAGGGGATGCTTGGGCTGAGGAAACCCTGACAGCCAGTCTGATAGACCCAACTGAGGGGGCCAATGTGACAGTGGTAGGAGGCTTACTAAAGTATAAGCAAAGAATTTATGTGGGATCCACTGGTGATCTGAGGAAGAAACTAATGCTACAGCTACATGAGTCTCCTTTGGGAGGTCACTCTGGACAGCATGGTAGATACCAGAGAATGAAACAGTTATTTTATTGGAAGGGGATGAAAAAGGATGTGGCTGATCTAGTAAAAGCTTGTGATGTGTGTCAAAAATGCAAGCATGAGAACATTTCCAGTCCTGGACTTTTGCAGCCTCTACCCATACCAGAGGAAGCTTGGAGGAGCATTTCAATGGATTTTGTGGAGGGACTTCCTAAGTCCAATCACAAAGAGGCCATCTTGGTGGTGGTAGACAGATTTACTAAGTATGCACACTTCATTGCAATCTCTCACCCATATACTACTGAGGGGATTGCAGAAATTTTTATGGAGAACATTTACAAACTACATGGCGTTCCCAGGGATATCACATCGGATAGAGATAAAATCTTTACTAGTAAGTTCTGGCAGTCAATATTCA